TCGAATATAATTTTAAAATTTTTGAGGTTTTTGATTTATTACCATTTGTATAATAGATACCGACCTATCACACCATGTGGCTTTTTTTGCCACTCGTCAATTCCAAATGAAAAATTGGCTAGATTTTAGTGAGAGAAGACGTCTTATTAAAAAAAATTAAAAAATATAGAGAAAAGTTGAATAAAAAAAATATAAAGGTCACATTAAGAAAATTAACGAGTAAAAAGATGTTTGATGTGATTAATCCAATAGTAATGGGCATTAGGGATGACTAAATAGTTATTTGGTTCGATTTTAAGCAAATTCAATTTGGTTTTTGATTAACCGAATCGAAAAAATTATACATAAAACTAAAGTAAAATGAATTGTTACTATTCATTCACTATTTGAAACACTCGTTCACCCATAATCGGATGCATTATCCACACAGATTCGGATGCACTATTCCTTTCACTACGCGAGTGGCATTTTTATAGTTTTCAAATATTTTTTAAACATTTATTATAAAATTTTTCATAACATTACACTTTGGTCTCTCTTTTTTAATATTTTTTTTCAATCCACATATATTTTTTGTTTGATTTTGGTCATTTTTTATTTTATTTTGATCACTTTGATCCTTTTTTCTTTGATTTTTTTTAATTTGGTCCTTTTTCTCTAATTTTTTAATTAAAAAAATTTAAGGGAAGTTTTCGTAACATTACACTTTAGTCCCTCTTTTTTAAATATTATTTTTTCAATCCGTAAATATTTTTTGTTTGGTTTTGATTCCTCTTTTTTGTTTTATTTTGATCATTTTTGTCCTTTTTTCTCTAATTTTTTATTTTGGTCCTTTTTTCTCTGATTTTTTTAATAAAAAAATTTAAGGCGAAAAAGTATTTGAAAAAATACAAAATAAGTTTTTAGCTAATAATCCATTGATTTTGACATTATTTATAGTATTAAAAAAAATTAGTTTGTGAGTAGAGATAAATAAATAATGTTTTTTAATACAAAATTTTGATTAAAAAATTATAAAATTGAATGAATTTTTATTTATTTTTGATTTGATGTATTTTGGTAGAAGCACAATATATACAAGACATGAAAATAAAATAATTTTTTAAAAATAATTTTAGATATTTTGTTCGACCCACAAGCATAGTACGGATGAAAAATCTAGTAAAAACTAAAACCAAATCGAATTAAAATTTTTTTTTTGGTTAAAATACCAAAAATTTGATCTAAATTGATTTTTTTATATATATATTTATGAATAGGCTTTGTGCCTTTATCCAAAAGCTTTTTATTTTTTAGCATATAGGCTAGGTCATTGCCCATTGTATCTACTTCCCTTGCATCCTTGTCTATAACAAAAATCAAAGAATTTATAGCCCAAGTTCTCAAATATTTGGGCTAAATGTGCCTATTATTACTTCAATGTATGCATTATAAGACCTTCGTGTAGTCATTTTATTAAGAAAAATCTTAAATTGAAGAACTCTAATTGGAATTTAATATAAATAGTAAAAACTAGTTAGATAACCATGCTACGTCGCGGTAAGACAACTATTATATACATAAAGTTAACAATTCGTATGGTATGATACGAGTAGATGTTTTGTTTCTAAAGATTAATGTAAATCAAATCTACATATTCGACGAACTTATTAGATTTATATATATTTATTAACAAAATAATTTATAATATTAGTATAAAAATACAGATTTTAGAACATGAAAAAAAATAAAAAATAAATAATTGATGATATGTGTGTAGATATAATTAATTTCTAACAAAACTATATATAAAACCAAATTATTATTAACTAATTATTATTTTTTAAAAAAATTGAGTCAAATTTTTTAATCGATTATTATTTTTAAAAAAACTAAGTCAAATTATCTAAAATTCACTTTTAACTCTCTCTCTCTCCCTCATCAAAATTTATATATATGACAAAACTATATATGTATATATCGGACTTAGAAGACTCGAATATATAAAATAAATAAAAAATATAAAAAAATCCACTTAAATTGCATGGAATATATCGAAGTGAATAGATTTAAATAAAAACTACTATAAATTTTGTTTCGATAAATTTTGATTATATATATATAACCAAATAAAACCTATGAATTTTTTAACAAATTATTAATTTTTTTAAAAAAAATAAGCCAAATTATTTTTTAATTGATTATTAATTTTTTAAAAAATTAAATTAAATTATCTAAAACAACCTTTTAGCACTCTCTCTCTCTCTCTCTCTCTCATCATAATTTATATATGCAACAACGCTATTTCATTGAAAAATCATAAAAATAATCAATCATATAAATTATAATAATATATTTTAAAAAAATAAAACAATCATGTTCTAAAATTTTATTTCAAAAGCCATATATAAAAAATCAAATTTATTAAAAAAATAAAATTATATAAAATTAAAAAATTAATTCGATGAGAATTTTAATAAGAAACAAATAATTGAAGAAATAAATTTTAAATAATAAAAATAATATAATCCAATATATTTGTTCTAACTAAAATTCTAAAAAATATCATATATATTCTATTACTCGTCAAAATATACATAAAAAAAAATAACGATCTTTTTTATATTTTGACACTTAATTTCATGATAAAAATATTAAAATAAATTATTTACATAAAATGGGAACAATTATCATCCGAGAACATATAACAACTGCAAAAAAAAAAAAAAAAAAAAAAAAAAAAAAAAAAAGCTACAGTAAAATAAAGGAGGAAGAAAAAGGCACTGCTACAGTAAATAAATAGTGTCACCTCTAGTTTTTTTTGTTTTTTTAATAAGGGTATAAATCAAACTTGGTATTCAATAAATAAAACATAAGTGTGTCATTGAATCTTAAATTTCTATTTTCATTCCTTATTATATAGAAAGTTTTTGATGAAACACCATATTTAAGAAAATGACAAGCTTGCGTAAAAGGAGAGGAGAAGATTCAGAGATCAATTTTTTTTTTCAGCCATCTTTTGGTGCTTGAGGGAGAGTTGAAAAGATAATTTTGACGGCATTGGAATATCTAACATTTTTCGAAGCTTTCAGCCTTCTTCCCAACTAATCCTTTAGTTTTGGAATGATATAGATTTTGAATAGGAGCCAAAGGCCTTGCTGTGTAAACTGGGAAGCTTAAAGAGTTGAAGTTGAAGGTGGGGTAGTCGGGAAGTACGGTGTGCGGTGGCTAGCTTTGCTACAAGATAAAAGATAGAAATGTTAGGTTAGGAAAGAGGCTGTGTCTCTGTGAGGGTTTTCCATTTTTTTGGTTATATATATATATATATATATATATATATATATATATATCACGTTTTTTTTAAATGAACTAAAATTTCTAACAATTGAACTTAATCGAAATAATGTTAATGTTTTAATAATATTTTTATTTTCAAATTAAATTAAATTAATAATTCAATTCAATTTGGTTCGTTTTTTCAATTAAAACCGAATTCCACCCCCTCATGGCCATCGCTTGAATTCCTTCTCAAGAAAGTAAAACATGAAAAGGTGAAAATAGAAGGGAAGTCGAAATTCAACAAGGGCATTGATGTAATATTTGATCAAGTCCAAAGGTTGAAGGAAATCCTAATTCTCGAGAACCAGAAGGGGACAAAAAGTCCATCCTGCAATCTAGCACCAGAGTACGGGGTTTTTCCTAACATGACACCTGTCCCTTACTTTAACCGGTCTAACAGGTGACCAAAGTTAACCAACCGTCACCCGCCGGTCACCATCCCTCTGAGTCGGTGCCTTTTCCCGCTCTCCACATAAACCCAACTCAGCTAGAACGAAAAACCCACAAAAAGAAGGGGTAAAAAAAAACTCACCTAGCCATGAAGGTTCCGTACAACAAGATCTGTAGGCTCTGTTAGACCGATTTTCAAAAGGGCTTCAAAATCAAAGTTCAGGTTGGAGCATGTAATCTCTCATTTTCTTTTAAAAGGTTCCACCTTTAAAAGTTTTATGCTTTTCTTTTTTGTGTTTTCTTAGCATGTTTTCTTTTGAGAAATTACTGTTTGGTTTCTTAGAAAATGTGGAAAAGAAGAGAAAAGAAACTGAAGTTTTGAACCTCAGGACTTTTCGTTTAGTAAAAATGGGGTCTTTATTTGTTAAGGCTACTGATACAACCATTTTTTTTCTTAGGAGTTTCTTTTATTTTGTTATGTAGTTTTTTTTTTTTTTTTCTTTTTATGTTCAAAAAATGGTAATACTGAGATTTTGTTTTGTTAATGAGTGAAAAAAAGTTGTTTTTTTTTTTTTTTTTTTTGTTACATAAAGCATAATTTATTTTCTTGCCCTATTAATTGAGGATTTAAGGTTGACTTTGATTATGCTCTGTTGAGTTTCTTTTTATTCATGTATGTTTTTAGTATGATTATTCATTAACAGCTTTGTTGGCGTCTCTAATGGATGTGTGTGATAATGTTATGGTCTGCTGTTGAATTGGCTGTTTAAGTTACTGAGTAGGTACGTTTGAAGCCTTGAACGTTACAAACCCAACATTTCCTGTTCCATTTAATTCAGCACTTCTTTTAATGTTTGAACATTATAACTCGATTTGACATGTGTAGTTGGGAAATTTAGTTAACCTTGATTGTTACATGTTTGTTGACATTCTTGTAGATAATAAGGTTTTTATTTTATTTTTTTGGTTTTGGATTCTATATGTTCGCTTACTCTTGAAAATATTTCCAGCACGGAACCGTTTTCTTTGTTTCCTAGGAAAATTTAATCAATATGATGCCAAAGAATTATTTTTTGGAGTCTTAACTCTGGTTGCATGCTAGAGATTATACACATTTAGGCAATTATTATTTCCAAAACAAGTGGAGCCAAGAGATTTTGGAAACTTTAATAGATACAATGCCAACATTAAATGGCTCAATATTTCTTGGTTGAAATTCATTCAGGTATGAGCAGCTTTGCTCTATGTTTGTACGAGCACCTGTGTATATGCTCTTTGTTAAGTGTAGGAACATGAATTACCGTATGTTTGTTGCATCTGATTTTTTTTTTTTTGTTGATATCTCTTTCGAAAGTTCATGTGTGGATTGACTTCTAATTTATTCTAACAGTTGCAAGGGAATAGCTGTGGATTTACAAGCCTACTTGGACAACTATTTGTCGGCACTGAGCTTCATGGACTCAAGTCAGATGACCCCAGATTTGGTGTAGTCAAATTTTGATAACATGCAACAAAGAGGTCAAATCCAGGTTGCACTAGATTCTTGCTCAAAAGCATCAGCTCAAAATTTTCCAGGATCTTTATTAAAGATTTCAGATTTGAATGTGGGTGCAGTGTCCGAGGATAGGAATTGAACCATTTTAAATAGTATGACTAACTTGGAATTGAGTCTTGCAGCAAGTTCTTTACCTAATGGGGGCAACTCAGTTGTTCTGAAAGGTTACATGGATGTGCCTCAACTGACACAAATCATCTTGATTTATCTGCATTCACCCTCTTGATGTCAATTACTTTAAGCACTTTTGGATCTTCCACTGCCAGCTGCTCCTAGATAGCAGAGGAAGATGCCCATCTAGGCCAAAGTAGGTCACAAGAGCGGAAAAGGAAACATCAAAAGGTAGGTCTTAGTACAACATTTCAGTCTCAATTGCAAAAGAGTCTAGATTCACTTCTTGATGTCAAAAGAGAGGAGCTTTCCACTTCAACTCGGCTACATAAAAAATAAAAATAAAAATAAAAAAAACCCAGATTAGACAATAAGAAAAATGTTATTCTACAAGAGAATATTATTCAGCAGCTACCACCAAGTCAGGATTCTGTGCAACTGCAAGGTCAACGCCCAACTCTATATGCATCAGTCCCACAGAACGAGTTAGGGAATCAAAAGCAGCAGAGCACTTTGCAGTCAAAGCTACAGTTGCTGGAAGTTAACATGAAGCATCAGCGGCGGCGAATGAGGGACTACCTGCAACGGCGGGACTTGCCATCTATGCATCCTTTCAATGCCAATGTATGTTCATGCAGGCTAAAGCAATACATGTATCATCTGCAGCAACGACCACCTTTGAGTGACTGTGATCGAGAATGTAATTATTTCTAAGGTTCTTTTATATTTACCATCTCTCAGATTTTAGTAGTGTTAGATGTTAATGTTAACTTGTCTCAGGTCTCTTGCTGATGCTTTATTTCTTTCTTAATATCCCAGCACTCATTATTTCCATATTAACATCGTCCTTCCACTATTTCTTCAAGATTTCAACAAACTGATACACTTTGAAGCAGTTCTAACTTTCTCTTTGTCTCTCTCTTTGTCTGTGTGTGTAGGACAATGGTATTGCTTATTGGAGAAGAAACGGTGGTGTTTGTCTTCATTTGATAGTGCTAGACTTCATGCCATTGGTGTGTTCTCCCAGACAGATATGGTCAGTTGTCAATATACAATTTTTTTCCACCGTTGAAATACTGATGTTACTTTTCTTATCAACCATAAACATAAATAGATGCATCCAGGCAGATGCACACATTTGTTTCAGTTTTTCGTGCATAATACACCTTATACCTATTTCATATAATTTTCCCTCACATCTTATTCTATATGTTTCCTGTTTCCCTTTTCTTTTGCTGGATGATGCATGGCATTGCGACTTGTGTGGGACCAAATCTGGGAGGGGATTTGGTGAGCAAATCAGAGCTACATGTTTTTAATTCAGTTAATATGTTGCTTTCTAAAGACAAAAAACAGTCCATTATTGATACGTTGCTAAAATTTTGTAAAGAACGTTTGCCTCCATCTGCCCCTGACTGTCCAAATTTGCTACTGTCGGAGACCCTGATGTCTAACATAAAATATTGATGTATTAGGTGAAGGCCAAAATTAAGTTTTATATCTTTAACAGTTTGCCATGGAACATTTTTTTTTTTTTTTTAATTCTTGGCAGAGGCAAGTTTTGAAGTACTTCTCAGGCTTAATAAGATGCAGTTTGACAGTGGTGTTATCAATGAAAACTTGTTTCTTGAATGCCTGCTTGAGTTCAAAGTCCCTTCTGGATTAATGGTGTGGAGTATGGAAAGGCAGTTCATGAGACTGTCTATGGCCAGCTTCATGTTGTTCGTGAGGGTAAAATTCGTATCATCTTCGCACATAATTTAAAGGTGAGCTATAGCCCACTGCATGAGGCTGGTGGATTCTATAACACATTATCTTATATTCTTGGCGTGCTTTTCAGATACTTCGCCGGGAATTTTGTTCAAGGGACTATGAAGAGCTGTTGCCTCAAAGTTCAATTCTACCTAAGGTACATTCGATCTGCAGTATCTGAACAACCATATTGGATCCATCCTGGTCCTTGTATGTTGTTTATTAATCCATTATCTGTTTTTGAACATTATTGATGCATCCTATTAAGATATAAATTTGATGGAACAGGACCTTGTGTATGCAGGTTAACGAGTTAGTTAATGCTTCAAAAAAGTATCAAACCACCATTGATGGTATCAGATCAGATAGCATATGACCATGTGATTTACAAGAAAATTGCAATATGTAAGAAACTCGGGGGGTTTTATTTACTGCAGTTGCTTACCCTCTGAAATGAATTGGTCAAAGATGTTTCCATGTATTTAATTTTAAGCAACAAACAGTTTGCTTTCCAACACTTTTTTGTTTTTTATTGTGTTCTCTTGATCATTAGTTACAGAGGCATCAATTTTTCCATCTTCTAGCCCTATTTGAAAAACCTGTTTTTGGCAATCATATTATAACTTTTATGAATCTGGTCCATTGTGTAGGTTATTATCTGCTGGGTGCAAGCTTGAAAGAAATTTGGACTTGCAGTTGGTTGATGATTTGGGGTTTTCAATTAGATCTGTCGGTTGCTTCCAGGTCTGTGGAGAGATTTTTTTTTATTTGTCTACTGTCACCTGAATTTACTCAGGATCTCATGTATTCTATGTTCATAATCTGACAGATTGCTGATAGATTCAACTGTATGAAAGACTTAATGACTTTTAGCTGGGATAATAAAGTTGGACCAATAGGTAAGTGATTTCTACTGTTTTATGACTTTGTGCGTCATCTTAAAAGGTGAACTGAAAACCCTGGAAGTAGCTGCTTGAGCCCTATAAATCTGTTTTCTTATGTTGTTGCATTGTTAACTTTAATTTATTTGTTAAAGTAATTGCCAATTGATTCTTGCAAAGTCTTTTCTGATATAAATACTAATATATAGAGAGCTTAAAGAAATATTCCTGAAAATTTTCCATTACCAAACTCCAGAAAGATTAATTGCAAGAAAAAGACCAGCTTGAGGTCTCTCTAGGTTTGCCAACTGACCCAAATAAGCTCCCTACTTCTCATGTTCTTGGTGCCAACAACAATGATGACTTGAACATGAGCAAGGTTGGACTATTGAATGGTGCTGACGTGGTGCGTCACTGTATATTTCCAAGACAGTCTTGCTTCAACTCAAATGTGGGTGAACTGAAACAGCCATCCCTTCTATGCAAGAGGTGTGAAAGAAGTGTATCTTCCACACCATCTCAAGGTCCCAAGACTTTGAGTACAGAATTGAACCAGAAGTGGGCATTTCCCAGTCTCCTTTCCTCTGGAGGTAGCCAGCATAGACCGGAGGATGCAGTACACTCTAAAGATTGATGACATTGTATCTAGCTTGCAAACAGGTGCTTAGGGCAAGATGCTCCTACGGATGGGATGACTCTTGATCACTACACATCTCAGTTGCTGCTGCGTCAGAAATGCGTCAAGTGGTATTTACTTCATCAACTTTTCCACGAAGGCTTTAGTTTCCTGAGATCCTGAAAGTGTTTTTTTTATGGATATAGGATTCTTTTATGTTGTGGAAGCATGAGCTATATGGTTGATAATTTTTATTTTTTGGTTCCATGTTTCTGGTGAATGATTCAATAGAAGATACAAATAGGGCCTTAAAAGAGTTTATTTCGTCAAGTCCTTTTAATGACAGTTACAGTTTTGGAATAATTAACTTGCTTAGGAAGATTAGATGCTGCAAATTGCAATGTCAACATGAACTATTAGCTACCCCAAAGTCTATACCTTGCCCAAGAAATGAAATATGGTTCCGATACTTTTTATCACTGTCAAGGTATTTTTCCCTTGCCTGTTTGTCAAGACAAGCATGAATTACAGAAAGCCAACGGCGAATTGCAATCTTCTTGGCCGTGAACTCTTTGCATATTTCTAGCCAGTCACCAATGTTCGGCTCTCTGAACTTGTTAGGATGTGAAATTGTTGCACCTGGTCTTCCCGTACCTATGTTTCATTAAGGTTTAATGGCATCTTTTGCCTCCTGAATTATTAGGGTTGTGGCACATGGAGGTCTATACTGCTAATTTTTCATTTTTAACCTTGAATTATCATTTCTTTTCTTTTTTTTTAGTAAATATTGTCTCTGCTTTATTTGACAATTTGTATTGGTAAAAAATCCTTAAGCAAAAAAAAAATTTAATTTTGATATCGTTGACTGAAATTTTGCATAGCAGTTAATTAAAATTCAATACTTTTACAAATAATTTCAATTTTTTAAAAATTTGGAAGCGTTTTTATTTTATTTTTTGAATAAAAAAATAAAATAAATTATATATATAAAAAAACTTCAGTAGGAATTTTTCTATTTTTTTAGAAGCTCTGAGTTCATATAAATTTATATAGGTAATTTTAGTGTAATTTTCAAAATTCGTATATATGTAGTTTTTAAAATTAACTTATTTTAAGTTTGGTTAAATATTATATATTCGATCATGTAAATATATTGAGAATCATATTGACATTGTACAGATAAGTTATAAGAATTGTTTTAGACCTACTAATAAAATTTGGGATCATTTTAAATTATTTCTTAATTTTTTCAATTTTGTTAATAGTTAAATGTTTAAGAAAAATAAAAATAAAAAATAGTTCTCGACCTTTTTTTTTCCTGAAATATGTAACATTTTCAATTAAAAATAAAAAAATTTTAAAGGAGTTTTTACTCAATCACAACAATTGAATCAACCGAAGGAACCATATTTATTTAAAATATAATAATTTAAGGTTAAAATTGATTAAATTGATAACATAAATCTTTATATGTTGCTGCCTCCATAGTTTAGAGGCAAAAAGTAAAAAAAAATGCCATTAACCCGATTCCTAATAATAGACCGCTGGCTAAGCGGCCCAATCACTGTAGACGAACTCCCACGAAAGATAAGAAGGAAATTTTGGGTTTGAACTTGGTCAAGAATGATATTTTGGAAATTTCGGCTATGCAGACTGACAGAGTGATGCCATGGGATGTATTAATCTATAGTTTTTTCTTGTCCTGGGATATGTTATTTGTCACACATTTTTAATAGTCACTTTCATTACAGCTAAGATAGTACATTCTTTGCCATCCAAATTGATGAATTTGTTGAAAAAAATAGGGAGTTATCTAATCTAAATGATGCAGTGCTGTTTCTTTTTGCGATGCTCACATGGGATCCAAAAATGAAATCCAGCTGTGAATTATATGAGACAAAAAAAAGTACTAATAAGTGCAATTTGGGTTCATAGTAACCTCTTATAGGCTAAGGAAACTCGGTAGCACGTAACATCGCCATCTTGTCTCCCTCGCTAACTGGTCTAGCCGTACAAAACCTGAAACTAAAGAAAGAAGCAAGTCTCCGTCTGTTCCTCTTCATGGTATCAAATTTAAGCATAGAAGCAAAACTTTCTTTACCATTCATCCACGGCAAAAGCCAAAATGTATGATCCATGAAGCTATTTCACAACTTCAACAAAAATAGTAGTAATGATTTCCGAAAGAGAGAGAAAAGAAATACACACTTCATCAACAAACTAAAATATGACAATATACACATTGCTTAGTCCAAATGATACGACGCCTGAAGAACCAACTAATACTAGATTCCGCTTTGTCTCGAAGATGTCCTTGCTCACTACAAGGCAGAATATCCTCTTTACCCTAAATGGTTAAGTGCAGTTTAAAAATGCTTTAACCCTTCTCTTAATTTACATGGATATACTAATACAGAGTCCAAACAGAGACCACCTTTGGTGTGTGTACAGTCTATCTGTGTCATAGAAAACTTGAGCTTTGTTGATGCATTGGTGCCGTCAACCACAAAGTCCCCGGCATGGTAGAGGTTCCATTTCCCAGGATCATCCAAAAAACACTGGGAAGAGGTATACTGACCATCTGAAGTCCATAGCTGAAACTGTACAGGTTTTCTATCCCAACCATGGACATGCTCAGTGTTACAGATGCGACGACCGAACCTCTTAGCAGCTCGCCCTAATTGTAGTCTGAAGAATAGGCAATAGGTCCCTGCTGGAAACGGGAATTCAAATTGCCCATCAACCTCAAACCACCAGATTTGCTGAAGATATGCAACTGAGTTGAAACTGCATGCAAAACAAATGAACTTTGGGTCAATTCCAGTGCTACTTTCACTACATATATATATAATAGATAATCACCACTTGGAGCACAAACACAGAAACAACCAATTCAATTACCATCCAAGTTGCCCATTTATCAAAAGCATCTGGATGCAAAGTAACAGCACCAAAAATATTAGCATCCTTTAATTCAACTAGCATTACCATGTGAAGAAGCAGTGGCTAGGAAAAAGATGAAAGATACCCAATTGAATCTTGGAATTATCTGCCACACACACATGCGTGCACACACACACACAGACACAAACCAACTACAAAATTATGCATAGTTAAAAAAGGAGCAACAAGACCACAATCCAGTATGCCGAATCAGATGCAGGTCTGATGATTGACCAGCTGAGTACGAGTAATTCGCTTGCCAATAGTTAACCTATTAACGGTTCAAGAAGAATCAAAGAGAAACGAACTTACGGGATTCATCCGTGTTGCCATACATACTTCATGAGGAAGAAGAAAGAAGAGGATGCTTGGGATTAGGGGCAACGAGGCAAGCACAACAGGGTTCATTGGTGACAAGGTGTTCAAGAACTTGTGGCTTCAGGGATATCATCAGTCATTTTGTAAATTAAATTGTCAAATTATGATCCTCGGTCAACATTATTGGTTTCAGGCTCAGGGTAAAATGAATCTACTTCTACATGTAAGGAAATGGAAGTGACAAAAACCCTGACATAATCCAAAATTCACTTACCCTTTGAAGGTCCAATTATATTACCTCGAAGCTCATAATAATACACAACTGCAAAATAGTTGCTGGATTCCAAGTTCTTACAAATCAAGGACTACAAATCTTGGTTCAGAGAATCGATATAAACATGAAAAGAAAGAAAACTAAAAACCTCTTTGAAGAAGTTCGACAAGAAAATGCCCCGAACAACTTGGACTTGGCCAGCCAATCTAACAAATAAATAATGAAAAACTAACCATTTTGCAATTCTAGTCAAAATTCCAACACATAAAATATAAGAGAAAAGTTTCAATAACCTCACCTAGATTCCTCTGTTGGAATATGATTCCAGTATCTTCGATCATCGATTCCTGTTATCGCTAACCCCTTGGAAGCAATGGATAAGCAGAGACCTCCTGTTCTCTTATCTAGCCATGCTTTCTGCCAAAAAAAAATAAAATTCTTAATTCAATAAACCTTTCTTCAGCATTGGTGAAAAGGAGCGAGGCAGAGATGGAAGAAATCGAACACGTAAGTTAAGAAGCCAAACAATAGAACTTGACAGAATTGAACAATCAAAATCCATAATCCTCCAGTCTTTGGAAAGCATCACAATTTGACTCGTTTGCTCTATTAAGATCCAATTCTAAGTAAATTGAATATTTCAAAATCAAGCCAAAAACGACACCTTTCCCTCTATGCAGCGCATGGAGTTAAAAATGCTTTCTTTTCCTTCTATTGAATTTTCTCATCTACCAAACAAACAAAATCAGAAATAAAAAGTCTGTTTCAAGATTCCAATATCTTCCATTTCCCTTCTTATTAACAATACATGCAAATTCCATTATTAGTTGCTGAAAAAACCAGAGAAAATCCACAACTTAACAAGACACCTTCTTTTTCCGAAAGTTTCCATTTCTAATGTCCTAAACAACAAAATAATCAAAACCCAGAATTTATTTCCTCCTATTATCCAAACAAATAAAAGCCAAAAGATCATACCTTAGTGCCATCATCAAAAGTATTAGCTCTACAAAGCCTGGTATATATCTCTCTCTTACACGGCTTATCTTTCAGACTTTCACCAAAAACCTTTTTAATCAAATCTTTATAATTCACAGGCAATTTTGACTCCCAAACAAAATCAGCCCAAGAAGCACCTCGAAATGCTCTGTTTAATTTAGCCAATTTACAAATCTCTGGTGGGTTTAAATATTCAAGAACTAAAGCCACACAGCCCTCTGGTAAATCACCAAGACTTGGCTTTATCCTTGGTGGTAGTGGTGATGGTTGTAAGCAGAAAGACCCAACAAGAGAACAAACATTCGGGTCTGTAAAGCTTGAAGAAAGATTAGAACCCATCAAGAGGGGGGGCAAAAAGGAAAAAAAAATTTGCATACAGAAACAGAGGAACCCAAAAGCAGAGAGACTAGAAAGTTTTATTTAATAAAGAGATTGGATTGAAAAAGAAACAAAAGAGAGAAAGAGAGGTGGCGGAGAGGAAGGT